ATAATATATTAATTACTATTAGGACCACATGGGAAAAGCATAAAGCAAGCAAGGTCATCCTTATCTCTATACTTACACAGTAAATAAAAATTAAAAGAAGGTGAAGGAAAATAAATTAGTTACATAATGTATATAAAAGGTCTGATATGGTTTCTTTTTTTCCTGTGCTACTGGGGATTGAATCCAGGGAGCACTGATCCATATCCCCAGCTCCTTTTTTATTTTTATTTTGAGAAAACATCCTGGCTGTTGCCCAGGCTTGCCTCCTAACCTTTGATCCACCTCATACTCTTGAAAACTTGTATGGGGGGGGGACCACCAGCTTCTCTTAAGTTTTTCTAATACTTCCTTTAGTTTAACACAACCTTTGGAGAAAAAGCCTTTTGTGTTTTAAAAAGAAAATAGTAAAAAGTTTGATTAGTGGTATAAATTCTAAAATTTGTAATAACATTCTTGTTTTTAAAGGAAGATGTAGACGCATTTATGAAACAGCCTGGGAATGAGACTGCAGATACAGTACTAAAGAAGCTGGATGAACAGTACCAGAAGTATAAGTTTATGGAACTGAATCTTGCTCAAAAGAAACGGAGGTAAGTATAAAAATTATTTTTTTTAAAAGTCTTACAAGACTTGAACTTTTTAATCTGTTTTTTGAGGCAAGGTCTCACTAATGTGGCTCAGGTTGAACTTGAAGTCACTAGATAGACCAGGTTGGCCTTGAATTCATGATCCTCCTGCTTCAGCCTTCTGAGTACAGGGATTACAGGTTTATGCCCCAAGGTTTACATGCAATAAAATATCCATGTATTCAAATGTTTAGGGTGTGTGTGTGTGTGTGTGTTTTGAGACAAGGTCTCAATACGCAGTTCAGGCTGGGCTTGAGCTCACTTTGTAGCCCAACCTGGTCTTGAACTCACAGTGATCCTCCTGCCTCAGCCTCCCTAGTGCTGGGACGACAGGCGTGTGCTACCACCCCTCGCCCTTAGTGTAATACTTGGAAAGTTGTCTGTGATATTGTGTGTATCAGTAAATTAGTTTTAACTATTGAGTTGTGTCCCATTGTGTATAGATTTACTACAGTTTTAATATATTTTATTAAACAGATTATGTTTACCTACTGGTAGATGTTTGGATTGCTTCCTCCTTTTTTCTTTGTCCCAATACAAGCGTATATTTTCATTTATCCTGGGTACTATTCATGGGTGGAATTGCTGAAGTGTGTTTGGTTATATGAGAAACTACCAGAGCCTTCCAAAGTGACTATACCATGTTATAAGTAAACAGTAATCAATAATTTTGACATATTATATGTTGAATCATTTTATGAATAGGGCACACAAAGAGGCAATGTCTTTGATGACTGTTAATTTTCTTTCTGTTTTTGTCTTTGAGACAGTGTCTCACTGTGCATTTCAGGCTGGCTTTGCTCATTTTGTAGCCCAGGTTGGTCTTGAACTTGCAGCCATCCTCCTGAAGTATACAAATTTACAGCTATTTCACATCCTTGTCAGCACTTGGTGTTGTTAGTCTAAAGGGAGTTTTATGAACGTAACAGTGAATATTGAAGACTTTTATTCCAAAGTGTCTAGGATCATAGCATTGACCCTTCTAATTTTGATAATAAAAGATCCATGAGGGGTTATTTTCCTAAGGTTTCGTGATTAATAGTCAAAGGAATCCTTGCTCTTAATTCTTACTCTTTTTATTTAGCTTATAAAGTGAATTCACTATAACGTTTGTGGATATTTTTGTAGTATATGTCTCAATATTGTACTGTTGGTTAGATACTTAGGGACTATAAACCATGTGTCACATGAAATAAAGTTCAGTGTCTGCTTCTAGCACAAGGCAAGGACATAGTCTAGGGTGTATTCTAGATATGTAAATAAAATAAGTATATCACATAGAACAGTAGTGATCCTTTGGTACACAGCATAGATCTACAGGAAGCTTTCAAGAGTACAGGAAGCTACAGGAAGCTTTCAAGAATGTTAGATGACTAACATTTCAGAGTAGTCTGCATGTAAGGTACACAGTTTTGTTTTAAGATAAATACTATTGTTTGATTTTGGTGAAAATAGAAATTTGAATATGGGCTGAATATAAGATGAGATGAAAAGTCACTGACATGGGCAAAAACTTGATAGAAAACACTATGAACAATGTGCTCTCATTTTAGAAAAATCTAAATGTGCGCAAATATCTGGAATGACTTATATTAAAGATATATTAATAGCCAGGCATGGTGGGACATACCTGTAATCGCAGCACTAAGGCTTGAGGCAGGAGGATCACCAGGAATTCAAGGTCAGCCTGGACTGCATAGTGACTTCAGGCCACTATAGCAATACCTTGTCTTGTGTCATCACCACTATAGAGATTTCCTTCTGTTATGCTAGAAGCAGACACTGAACTTTATTTAATGTGACACATAATTGATATTTCCTAAATATTTAACCAATAGTGCAATACTGAGACCTACACTACGTGTCTTAAAAAAATCCAAAAACAAACCAAAAAAAGATGTATTAATAGTAGCAATTTGCATGGTAAAAATAGTGTTTTTCTTATTTTAGCTTGCTTGTATCTTTATTTTTCTGTTATGTGTACATGTACTGATTTTGTGATGGTAAAAGTTTTATTTTTTCCTACATTTTAGAAAAGGGTCTACAGGGTGTTCAGGGTCTCACTACTAGATCAGACTCGTACTGATTCTCCTATTTACAGCCTCCCAAGTGCTGGGATTAAGGCACGTGCCACTGTGTGCCGCTATATCCAGTCTGTATCACCATCTCAGCACACCCGGTGGGGGGATGTGAAAGTTTATTTTTTGTCTTTAAAAAGAAAAAGCCATTAGGTTAGAGAAAGCCCACAGGCAGGTTACATAGAGAAGAAAATGAAGGAGATGGGCATATTTGTGTATCAGAAAGTTTATATTGCAAACTCTTGTACTATGGTATAGTTGAACACTCAGTGCAGCTTTACATAAGCTTTATGCCTTAATGTGGGGGTGACAGTTATAGCGTATGCCTGCACCCTTCCTAACTAGATGTACTTGGGATACATTAGTCAGTAGTTATTTATTGTGTACCTAACATGTTCCAGGCATCATCCTAGGCATGTAAAAACAAGTGAATAAAAATTTGTGTCCTTATAGAGCTGATATTCTAGTGAGATAAAAAATTATATCATAGGTTACAAAGTCCTTAGGTACTATGCAAGTAGGAAATAAAGCAGAATGGGCATGGTGGATGTTAGGAGGTAGCAGCAACTAAGGGCTTTGAGAAGGTGAATAACATGATCAGACTATGCAAATCATTTGGATTGTTGGTTAATAATCTCTAGGGCAGAAACAAGGCCTTTTTCCTAATGAATGTGAGGCTGATGATAGCTTGGACCAGGGTGGTAGCAGTGAGGGGTGTTTGGAGTCAGATTCTGAATCTAGTTTGAAGTTGGAACCAGCATGATCTGATGGATTTGAGTTAGACTATGAAAGAGAGGCATGAAAGTGCCTCTGATGTCTGACTTGTTGGGAGAGTAGTTGACATCTGTGATGGGCGAGAGTGGAAAGAAAAATTCGAGGGAAAAACTAGGAGAGCAGTTCTGGATATATTTGGAATCCTTCTGGATATCCAAGTGGAGATATTAAATGGGAAATTATATGAGTCTGAAATTTGGGAGAGAGCTAGGCTGGAGGCAAATTGAAAATCATCCAGAAAAAAATCAAGATTAAAAAGAAGGTACCAGTGAGGTCAGAGGGAAACCAGGAGACTGTGAGATTCAGGAAGCTTCAAAGAGGAGGAAATGATCTGTGTCAAATAACTGCTAATGGCTAAGGTAAGATGAGAACTGAGAAGGGACTTGGATTACACAAAGTGGCACTTACTGGTATTCTAGATGGGAATAGCACCTATAAGTGTTTTAAAAGCGAGAGGTAGAATAACTATACAGTGAATGAAGAAAACGTTGTTTTACCCGTTTGTTTTTTAATTTAATTTTTTTTTTTGAATCAGGGATTGAATTCAGGACCTTGCACTTGCCAGGCAGGCGTTTATGCCACTGAGCTATCTCCCCAGCCCTGAGTTTAATTTATTTAATAGTATATTGATTCTCTACTTGATAAAAAATACCTGTTCCATGTTATGCCTAAGATGTTTGATATTCAGACAGATAGTGTGGTTAAGCTTAACAGCCTAAGGTGTATAGTAATAACAATAAGCTTGTCTTCTGGATGGTTAACAACCTAAGTTTGCAGACCAAAATTAGAGAAAAAGGAGGGCCACAAGGAAAGCCAACATTTTGGCCCTACCCTTCCAAGGTCACTTAAGACTCAGGACATATGAGAACTTGTACTGTAGCGTCATGTAACTCGGTAATGTCCCAAATTTTCTGATCAAGGAGATTATGGGGCCAAAGAGGAAAGTGATTGATGATGTAGAGTGTGCCTAAGGAGAGTCACATGGAGAGAAAACATTCTCTCAGGCTTTCACAGAGAGCACATTGGCCAACAATGGCTGTGACTCATCCACATGGCTGACACTGACAAAGGTTCTACAATCTGAGGTACAGGATCTCAGGATAAATCCTGAGGGGATTTCACTGACCTTATCAGACCCAAAAGCTACGACTCTTGTTGCATAGATCCTGCTTTACCTTGGTCTTAACCATTCAGCAGAAAAGTATAAAAACGAAGTAAAAGTAAAGCCATGCTGTTATGTTGAGCTGTAGGGGACTCAGGTCAACAATTTCTGACGTTGCCAGTGAAGCGGAAGACCCAATACTATTATGGGCTACTGGACTCTTTTAGAATATTTTGCTGAGTTAACACACCTATAACATTCAAATGACGGAACTTAAAAAAAGGGGATACAGATGAATGTCCATTTTGTATCTGTGTATTCAAGATGGTTAGAATAGATATATAGTTACATTCTCTTAATGAACAGAGGGATTTGTTCTAATAGTGTTTGTAAATAGGATGTCATGTCCGCATCTTGTACAGCAATTAACCACTAAGAAGAATGTATGCAATGTGTTAATTATTGAAACTGTCCTACCAACTTGGTTTGAAACTGTCTCATTGCTATTTGTTTCTCATTAAAATTATGGGAAAAAATAGTGTATTGATTCTCTTTATTTGTAGGTATTCTCTTTTTTTCTTTCTTTCTTTCTTTTTTTTTTTTTTTTGCTGGCTCAGTCTGCCCTGAGGGCAGGGCTGGCACAGCATGTGTTTGCAGCATGTGCAGAGGATCTAACCGAGGTCCCCTGCACCTGCCTAAGCTTGTCTAAGCAGCTGGTTTTCTGAGCTGTCTCACCGGCCCTATAGGTGTTATTTTTTTATGCACTGGATGCTATTATGGTTTAGAACTAGAACATTGCCTCCAAAGCCTCATGTGTTTAAAGGCTTTTGGGAAATGAATGGATCATGGGGGTGATATACTTATCAGTGGATTAATCTGATGAGTTTTTGTGGCTAAGTGTGCTGTTAGGAGGTGGGGGTCTGGCTGGAAGAGGCTGGTCACTAGTGTGATCTGGAAAAGTGAATCCTCCTCTCCAGATCATCACTTCTTTCACTGCTTTCTGGCTGCCC